TTTCTTTATGTATACGTCCAGAATGATATATGCCTACATGCATATGCCTTTTTGATTTTCAAGTTGCAACAAGATTACATATGAAGCTCACATGAGAAAAATTAAATTTAAAATTGAAAAGACTATTATACTGAGAGAAAAAATATTCAACAAATAAAGAAATATTTCAGTGAATCTTAATAACATATTTACTTATATTAATATAAAATCTTTTCAAGCAAGAACATATGCATTTCCTAAAAACTTTAGCTTTTCATGAAAGTTTACTCTATTTAAGTAGAAAAATTTAGACTTAAGCAAGTTTGTTATTAGTGTCTATTAAATAAATATATTTATTTTTTAGATATTTTTTCTCAGTGTAGTGCATTCATTATAGATGCAGAATAAAAACCTGGAACTATATTCTAGACATATAGTGAACGCTAAATATAGCATTTCTGATTCTGAAATTGAAATGGGATTATACATGACATGCGTTTGCATAAAAAAAAATTAGAATTAAGGAGACATCTTAACATATGTTCATATCTTAACATATGAATAAGATTCTCAGACGTGTTGAGGTAGTACGAGAAAGTGTCAATTGTAGAAACGTGAGTCAAAGAACAATGGAAACACTTTCGGACGCGCAAGCGCTTCAAATCAAAAAAAGAGAGATGGAATTACATTCTTTCCCCTCACTTTTTTTTCTTCCATTTTTATATCGTTCTCGTGTCGCGCGCTTGTGAGAGCAGTAAACGCTTAACGTTGATGCCCACTGCCCTCCGCGGTAATTATTCGCCGCGCATCAAGCTGAAGGAATTGTAAGGAGGATAATAAAACCCTACGGAATGAAGGGCGTCGGGGGTGCGCGGAATAAGATGTAAGTTGGCCGGCGGGAACGCGGCACGTCGCTTTTTTATCGTCGGCATTTGTCGGCGTGGCGTAAAAAAATCTCCTCGACGCAGCGGTAAAAGCGATACGCGCTGTGAAGACGCTCGTGTTACTAATAACGTACACGCGCGCGCATGCATCAGTTTACTCTGCAGTTTACGGTCCCTTTGATAAATTTGATTAGTGTGTGTCACTTAGCGAGACATGCTCGGCGAGAGAATTGTCTTTCGCGATGTTAACGATTACAACGTTACGCAACTTGGGAATTAATCCGGAGCTGTCACACACGACGCAGCTACGGTATAATAACAAGACGTCACACGCGTAACGCACAATCGTCTACCCGAATGCTGTATTTACGCGCGGGAAAAATTATGGCAAAGTTGCGGGAAAACGATACGCGTACGTGAGTCAGAACACGATCAAGTAGTAAAGCTCCGCGTCTGGTCAGACGTTGCTCTTCCGGGCGCCGGCCGGAGCGGAGCGAAGCGTCTCTCTCTCTCTCTCTCTCTCTCTCTCTCTCTCTCTCTCTCTCTCTCT